TTCGGCGAAGCGGTTGGGCGAAAAACGCTAGCCCGACCACCCTGGCGTTTTTTTTTTCTAGGGCGGAGCCTGCGGAATCGATACGCATCTATTGCTTTTCGCCCAACCGCCGACCGCGGCGGTTCGTCGAACGGGGCGGTTGGCGATTCTCCGATCAATAAGTATTTTTTGCTTTCTCGCCGAACCGCCGTTTATTCAGGGTCTCAGACTGTGAACAATGCCCAAGACTTCGTTCCAGCCCCAGGTATTGATTGACGTCGCGGAACCCTTTGTGACCTTCAATAAAGATCAAAAAAGGCAGCTCGAAGTGTACATCACCAACCTTGTATCGATTCCTCCCTTCAGCATTTTGTGCAACAAACTCAGTCATCTTTGTGAAATCGTTAACCCGTTTCATTGATTTAAACTCCGCTATTAATCCTTTTACACCTTTTTTGAAGGTCTCTTCCACAAATACTTTTACCTGCAATAGAACTGCTTACATCAGCTCTACTTTCTTTACTGTTTTAAGGCACAGTGATTTCCGGGAGGTGGGATCTTTCCGTGCGCTAGCTAGGTAGGTCCACAAAGGATAGGAGAGTATGGCGCGATAGGATGGAGCAGACAGGTGGTAGAGTACAGGGAGATAGGAAGGCAAGAGACTGCTGGTAGAGAATATGGTCGCGGTAGGAGGGTATCAGCTGTCTGCTACCCTCCTATCGCGCCACTCTCCTCTCCCGGACGCTGGTAGACGCTGGTGCACGCTGGCAGACGCTAGATCGATATCTATACTTTCCTAGTCGCTGACGCTGCCAGACGCTCGGAACGCTGGTGGACGCTATTGTCGCTAGAGGACGCTCCATCAGGGAATGAAAGCAGCCTTTTGTCTTCGCCTTACATGCCATACTTACACCATGGCGTATTCAGCAGGTGTGGAGCTTTACCCCTGAATTGCAGCAATGCGCATATCAGCAGAATTTTCCTCGCTAGCCGACTCTTTAGACACAGACTCGAAGTGAGCTGTCGACTTGTGAAACGCTGAGAGAACTGGTAAAGTCCACCGCCACCGCGACGTGTTAAGTTGAATAGACTGGGTTCGTCATGCGATGTACAAACGCCTATTCTATCGACTTGGACGGGAGACACGAAAAGGGATATACCACTGGAGCAACTTTGCGCCTTAATCCTTTACCGTACAACTTTCCGCCGCGAAACTGGCACAGGGTTGTCCACTCCGGACCGCACTACCTTCCCACATAACCTCTTGCATTTTCATAGGTCATCGCGGACCGCTCCTTCAACCATTAGCATACCTGAGCACGTTTTGCTGCCCTTGACACACGTCGCGAACCTTCTTCTGTAGTTTTTCCTTGCACACTCTGGCTAGCAGCTGTTTGGATTGATGTCCTGAAAGAGTTTCCGCAGTGGAAATGTCCTTCTTCTAAGTGTAACTTTCACTCACCTCTGCTGCACGGAAGGTGTTTCTTCTTCTCTGAAATAGATTCCTTATTGTTGAAAGAAATGAAAAGTTCTTTTAGAAGAACACGGTTTTCGGCTCACAATTCAATTTATTTACGTGGAAGTCTGTCTCCGGAAAGGCTTTGATCCCTGGACATACTATCGCATATGACTATGACTATATGACTATTGCATCCGTTTCGCACGAGACCAAACGGCGCACGCGCTATAGGCGACACGCCATGTTATCCCAGAACACCAAATTTGGTAAAAGTTCGCTTCATGTTTCTGCTCCCCTGGAAGTATCACTAGATACTAGGCACCCAGAAAGGGTGCTGCCTTCTCTCGTTGTATTTTTCTTAATTTTCTATCTCCCTAGCACACCAGTTGGTACGAAACTGCCTGATGAAATCTGCGTAGCACGGGGAACAAACAGGAATGTGGTGCGCTGTGCCATCACTTGTAACGTAGGCGCCAGGCTATTCCGGGTAATGTATTCAGAATGTCGAACTACCCTAGCAGGGTAAATCCTAGCTAAATCCTAGCCGAATCCTCCACGTAAGAAAAAAACGGGAAAAACCTGGCCTGTTCCAGGAGGAATGTGGCAGTTAGGGGTGGACACTGTCGAAGCAGCACTGACGCTTCTTCAAAGATCCATTCCGCGATAATCAATGGGCGGAGATTCGTTCATTTCCTCGTTGGTGCATCCTTTCATCGATTAGTGTGAAGGGCCACCAGGACGACGCAATCACAATACAGTCATAAGTCCCTCTCCAGCCATTAGTTATCGAAGAATGTGCATTCAAGCTCACGATGAATAGCTCTCGAGTTCGGAGCAGTTCCATGGAATGACTGCTAAGGTACCTAGTAAAAGAGAGGAACTATACACATGCTGTAAACCACTA